ATGCGTTCCGTGGGACGATTGGGAGCGAGCCGATCCAGATTGGGAGTGAATTGACACGACGGAGGGCGATCGCGATCGCGAGCGAGCCGGCGAAGTGTGGGTACGGGCCGGCGAGGCAGATTGACGGCGGCGAGCCTCCGATCGGGATCGAGTTAAGGCTGCGAGAGCATCCTGATCAGACCCCTCCGACTCGTCTTCTTCTTCGTCGGTCTCTTGATCGGACCCCTCCGATTCGGAATTTTCCTCGTCGGCCGCGGATCGGACCGGAGACGACTCCTCCTCTTCCGACCGGTCTTCCTGCGTAGATCGAGGGGGCGGACCTGACTCTTCTTGGTCCGATCCCTCTTGATCGTTCAGATCGGAAGACGGTTGATCCGCAGCAGGCACCTTCTTTGCGGGTTGATCTTCGGCGGGCTGACCCCCAGCGGGGAGTTCATCGTCATGGCCGGGTAACGAAAAGGAAGGTGAGGGAGACCGAGCGGGCGATCGACTCGTAGACCGACTGCGTGGTGGAGGCGCCGATCGGGCACGTTTGTGGATGTGTCCGACGGAGTCCGGAGATCCGGAGCGACTGCGGCTGCGGCGGACAGGCGTGGTCGGCGCGCACTGGCTAAGTCCAATCCACCGAACCACGCGAGATAAGGCGTCGGCCACATTCTCGAGATCCTCGTTGGATCGATCGCTGACGCGCCGCAACATAGCGTAGGCGTCCTGGACGTCGATGAATTGGGCGTCTTGGGCACGGATCACTTGTTGCGCGTTTTCGAGACACGATCCTGTAACACAGCGACGGCATGAGCAGCGATCACAACGGAATAGGCGACACGGAAAGTTTACGTACGGAGATCGGCGTTCTCTCGGAGCGCAACGTCGCGGTCCTGATGAGCTTGATCGACGTCTTCCACGGCAGCGGTGGCTTGGTCTCTCGCGGTATCTCGGGCGGTACGCATCCGATCCAGCTCCTCATTCACCTGGCGGAGGGCAACCTGCAGTCGATCGACGTCGGACGTGGGTCCGGTGGGGGGCGTCGGGGTTGGAGCGGCCGGAGTGGCCGCGGCTGTTTCGGCCATCCGAAGGGCAGTCCGGACCCGATCGAGGCTACCGCGTGTAAGGTCCAGCTCGTGGTTCACCTCGTCCAGCTCGCGCTCTTGCTCGGAAACTTGCGATCGGAGGTCCGAAATGTCCGCCGTGGCGAGATCGAGCTGGTAGTCGGGTCGATCACGATCGGAACTAGCAGTCGCGAGGTGGTCCTGAGCGCGCGTCAGCCGACGATCCAGATCCTGGATCTCGGCGGCTTGCTGGGCTATCTGATTCCGGAGGTCTTGGATCAGCTGCAGACCTTGATCCTGGGCACTCTGCTGAAGGTCGCTGACTTCGGTCTGCAGACGGCGGATCTCTGCCTCTTGCGCCCAGCGGTGGCGCTCCAAGTCGTGTAGGTTCGCGGTCAGCTCGCGCACGGTGTCGTCCTGGCGCGCCCGGTCGCGGATCATAGTCGGTCGGGAAGCGTAGGCGCATGCCAGCTCATCTTCTAGGCGGGCGATTCGGCGGGCAGCGTCGGAAGAAGCCGCGGCATGACGGGAGGCCGTCGATCGCGTCGATCGAGGGGTCGAATGAGTCGACCGGGGTGAGCCGTGTGTCGAACCGCCGTCGCCCGACGGACTGGGGGAATGTGCCGGAGGGTTGGTCGGCGGTGCGTCCATCTGGAGTAATCTGCGCTTGGGCCGGCGAATTGGAGAATGGCCAAGGTCAACCTGTCCGAAGTGAGCCGCCGTGCGACACAACTTGCGGCCAGGGGGGCGGATGTGGAGAAGTGCTGAATAAGAATTGTTCTCCGAGAAAGGCGGCAGGGTCGATCGACTGGAGGCGTGGGAGATCGGCGATCAAGAGACAGGCAGCAAGGATCTACGGATCAGAAGGAGTTCTTCGGGAGATCTCAGGTGGTCCGATGACGCCGGCGCGTAAGGCAGGACATGTGGCAAGCCGGATTGTGGGTGATCGTGCCCGAACCACGGCGTGATTCGTGGCCGACCCAAGTCCAGATCGACGACAGAACCCGCGGATCTGAGATGGCCGAGAACAGAAGGTGATAGATCGGCGGCGCATGGCAACCGGCATAAATCATCGATCGGGAGTGGATCGCCGATCGGGATCGACGGGTCGATCGTGGATCGGGAGCCGATCGTGAGTCGCCGATCGGGGTCGATCGCCGATCAGGGCCGATCGTGGATCGACCAGGATGGGACGCACACGGAGGACGAAGTCGGGGCAAGAATCCAGTAATCGTGTGGTTGTTGGAGGGTAAGCAAGATGGTAGCATTAGGGGGAGACCAGCTAAACATAAATCAGAGCAGAATTTGCACCGAAGACCACAAGTCCCATCAAGTCACCAAGTCCCAGGAACTACATTGGCCTCGGCAGCGTCGACACTTTGGGTAGTGAACTAGCGGTACGGTTAAGACTGGATTAATACATTGGCCAGCTTGACCTACTGTAGTGATCTATCTCTTGTGTGCAAGTCCGCGATCGACCGGGTATTGGTGCTTGGCCGGCGATCGTTTCTCCTCTCGATCAACCTCGATCCCGCTATAGGAAGCGGCAAGCAACTCAGGAAAGGAAGGAACACACCCGGAAAGGCAACCACAGGCCTTGGATCAACTCCAGGCCGACCGATCGCAGCGAACAACCCTCGATCGGAGCGTATACTCGGACGCAGAGCGAAGACTACCGCGCTGCTCCACAAACTATCCCCGCGTCACGCCAAGACACTCGATCTTCACCAAGTGCTGCATCTTCGGAGCCCCGAGAGAGCAGATCCAGCCCGCCGACGGGTACACAAGGTGAGCAAATGTTCAGCCGATCACGGATCGTTGGGGGACCTCCTCCGTTAGTCGGTGTCTGGGCGCTGGTGGGAAGCTTGATCAGGCCTTAACCTGATTATGGCCGATCCCGCTACACCACACCTTGCCACGACTAGTAACACACCTCGAAGCTTACCGAAATGCAGTTTATATGTTCCTTCCGTAGCATCCAAGACGCCAATAACCTGCTGGCATTCGTAGGCCTTGGGAATGTTCAGGAGCATGTGACGCGAAGTCAATATGAGCCCGAAAGACTTTGCTGCCTTGCCATCCTGGTCAATGAAGTCGTGTTCAAAGCACTCAAGAACAATCACACCGTGCTGAAACTGGCGGGACTTGTTGGCAAACTGCGTTGCGGCGTCCGCAGCGCTGATGTCGTCTTCGTGACCAAAGAAGTCACTCTTCGATGTACACAAATGTGTGTACGCCCGCTCTAGTAGAATCGCGAAGTTGTGAATCTCCCACCCACCTGTGGCAGAACAAATGCAAGACAACCACAATTGTTCAGAATTATTACTATCAACCCAAAAAAAAGTACAGAGCTGCCAAAAAAATCATACCTGACTGTTTCTTCCGGAGTCCAGCTTTTCAGTTCTTGAGCTGACTTTCCGTGGGTAAATGCTGAAGCATGACTGGGTTGTCTCCGTGACGATCTAGCAGCAGCTTCCGGCACTTCTTTTGTCCAGCGCTGCGAACAGAATGCTGTCGATCTCTCGCTTCAGCACACCGTGAATTCCACGGCGCTGAGTGTCTTGATCTTCGTCTCCATGCATGTCTGTCTCCTCCAAAACAAACTGAGCTCCGCTTTCGTCCTGGGCTTCGCCTTCCACCTTAGACAGCCGCAGCCGTTTGGGGCAATTAACATGGGACATGCAGCAGTAGATACGAGTACCGTTGCCAGCATTGCCGTAGTTGTGTTTGTATTTGTAGTGGAACCCGTCTAAGACGTCGATGCCAATCTGCGCCTCTTCAAGGGTTGGGAACACCTCGCACACAACGAACGCTCTACGAGTCGCTCTGACTTGCTGCCCCTCTTCGTCCGAAGACGAGGCAAAGTCGCTGCCGCTTGCCTCGTCGGCTCTGCTCATGTTGAGCGAAAACTGACGAATGGCCAGGAGCTGACTCTGATCGTCTCGGTTCGGCCTGTCACTCGTAACATATCCGCTTTTGTAAAAGCTTACTCTAAATCTCACCTGTTTTGACTTTACGCGTACCCCCGCCGTGATTTACTCCAGGATAAGCCGCAACCCAACCATGGGCGGAGGCGACGTTGCAGCGGCATGCGGCATTTACCGCCGCGTTGGCTCGAACTGGCACAACGTTGACATCGAAGGACCTCGTGAAGCAGTATCCCTCGTGTCCTCTGCGTTCTTCCGACAGCGAAACCAGTGTCCTACAGCAGTGTAAATTCTTCGACTTGTTCGACGCGGACCCAGAAGAAGCTCGAGAAGAGATGGAGAGGAAGCGGCAGGAAACCCGGGAGATTCATTGAGAGATCTACCTGCGTACTATCATGGAGTCTAACCGCCACCATCCACTGAGGAAGAATCGCTGTTACGATTTCCGCCTGACGCCAGAGGAGAAGGAGAAGCTGGCAGCAAATGGAGTGGTCGCCTCGCAACGAATGGAAGCCGAGAGTTTTGGGGGCGTCTACCACCGACTGTACAGTGACGTCTTGCCTGTCTTCGTGACAGCGGACTCCATTCTCCACGCGTGGCACCGCAGTTTTGACGCATTTCTGATTAGGTTGGAGACGACGCACCTTTTACCGACACTTGAAGACATTTTGAGCTCAAGTCTGACGGAGTGCGAGGCGATGTTGTCAGATGAGAAAGAAGAGAACTCGATGGTGTCGACAGCGGTGGGAAATGTGGTTGAATATCTTACTATTGGGCTAAGCTTACTGCGAGGAACTCTCCAAAAGAAGACCCCAAGGCTTGAAGCACTCTGGGCGGCTATCCATGCTGAAGTGACATCCACCACAGAGATGCTTGGTTCCCAGCGCACTATTGACTTCTCACTCTTTAAACGTCGCGGACACTACACCAAGTCTAAAAGCTCAAGTGCTACTTCCGTGCGATGACGTGGCTCGGGCAGATCGATTTTCGCATCGCTGGAGGGATGTGTCAACGAGCCGATCTGCACCAATTACTATGTGCGGTTATCCTGGTGCATTGCCTTCAAGCCTCGAACACCATGGATGCTGTCGAAAGTGTGGACTCAGTGATATCAGGTCTGGTCACTGATGGAGGGCTTGGAGCTGACTCACTGTCTGTCGGCGAGCTTGCTAAGCTTGTGGTCCCGACAAATGTGGCAAAACGGATCGCTGAAAGCGCAACTAGTGAAGAGGAGAGGTCAAAGTTACTGCGAAGTCTCCAACAATAAATCGCCCAGAAAGGTCTGGGAGCACAGCTCATTCCGGGACCACTTGTCGAAGGCACTGCGGCGCCTGCTGTTCCTCCCACATCGTTTGCTTTGCTCGGCCAGCGCTTTGTGTGGAGTGCGTTTATTTTCACACGAGAGGTCGCAAACAGTTTGTACCCGGACCGTTCGGCAGATGGCACCGGGTACCCGAATCCGCCCATGTGGGCCTTGTCTGAAGTTCGGGCACCGTAGATCCGAATCCGTTTGGATACCCGAAATATCGGTCCGTCCGAAGTTGCGGGTAGGCATGTCCATCAAGGATATGATGCGAAATGCCATTTTGCAGTATAATACGTTCACGTTAAGCTTCTAAGCTAAGATCTACCTTGATCTAGCCTTCCTCCTTGGGGTGACCGCACAGTTATGGATGATCTAACGGTACGGTCATACGCCGAACAGTACGGCACTGCGTGCATGCATGAAAACAGCCCAACATCACAGGTAATAGTGGCCAGAGCACTGTTCAGTAGACTACAAAGGTAAGATAGCTATAAACTTGCGATTGTCTTCACTTCGATCTGCACGTGCTTCGCTCTTTGGCTCTGGCCAATACCTGAATAATCTGGATGGGAATTATTGCATGGTTCGGCCCGAACTTCGGATACCCGAGCGTATTTCAAAACTAAATCGGGTACCCGTTGCGAGCTCTGTTTCACACGACTAGTTTACGATCAAGTCATGCTAGAAGAGACAAAGCAGGCGCGACGCATTCCGAGTGCCGTAGATGTTGCCTTCACCCTGTTTGGCAACAATGAAGCAGCTCAAGTGCTTGCTCGTCGGATGGAAGCAACAGCCGATGATGATGACGCGGAGTTTGTTCCGCGCCGAGACGGAATCCCGTTCGCTTCCAATCTGATAGCGCTGCGTCAAGTGATTGACGAAGAGTTCAATGACAGTGACGAGGACAGGAAATCGAGTCGTAGAGCAATCGGCGATGAGTCCGAGACTGTTGAGCCTCAACTTCCAGCCGCTATTTCAACAACAAAGCAAGCCAACTCGAGCCCTGAAGGCATCGCAACTAAAGACTCTTCCTCTTCAGAAGAACACCCAAGAAATGACAACGAGAGCATCAGTGACTGTGATAGCGACAGGGTGATATTTATCACCTGTTACTTTAGCAATCTTCGGCTGTTGTGTCTCTCCAGCCCCTGTCCACCTGTCGTTAGCCCTGCTCGGCTGTCGTCTGTTCATAACCTTTGTCAAAGAATATATTATGATATTGCGAGGGGTACATGCGTGACTCGAAGTTTACCTCCGTGAGGGACTCTACTAATAGCCGAGAGCCTGATCGTGGTTCGTTCGGATGCGCAAGGACAGTGGGTTAGTCCAGAGATTACAGTATCGTGGTGGCGCTGTATTCTTGGGCTGCAGCTCTCTAAATGACTTCCGGTTGCTTGTAGCTGACTTAATTTGGTGTATCTTGTACGCTCTCAGTCCCAGCTATCGGCATGATGTTCGATTGCGACCCTCAAGCGTTAGTGCGAGATGTTTGCCCTGCCGATTGCGTATTTGCACTCGCCACTAACCTGATGACTGCTAGGTGCTTGCCTTGCAGTCAAAGAGCACTCGCAACAGGTTTTCAGATCAACAGGTTCTCAAACTTGAAAACCTGTTGAAAACTAACAGTTGAACAGGGTCGCCAACAGGTAAGTAGGGGCTGTGAGCTAGCAACAGCCTAGTAGTGGTAGAACAACAGGAATTAATTATTTTCATAGCGACAGCGACAGCAGCAGCTGCAGTACTGAAGACGGAAGTATCAGCACGTTATGGCTCCGAGCACTTCGAGCGCTATCGAGACCCTCTCCAAACACTGCTAGCACGTTTCACTCAGACACCTGGCAGCGCCGTCAAATGAACACCCAAATTGCATCATTTACTCAACTTCGTCACGGTACTGTGCTGTACTCGAAGCAAGGCTCGATGTTGAAGCCAAGTTGCAAATATCCCGATGGCATGGTGGATCCTTACCCGTTTTTTTTTGCAAAGGATGAGGGAGTTGGCATTGAGAGCGAAGGGTCTAGCGCATATTACCCATATGCATAGGGCTAGAATGTTATTTGTGGATTTTGCTACAACGATGGAGACTCTGAAAGGCATTTCGGCGTGCCAGGCCACTCACAATCAACTGAACGACGAGGAACTGGATTCATGAATTCGGTGATGGAGGAAAAGCGCGGAAGTGGCGGGACACAGTACAACGGGTGGTATCCACAGCTCTTCCTCGAGTCTCGACAGGATTCAGGCAAGCGCGATGTGTTGGTCGTGGACGTACACACGGATAGCCCATCGGTTGAGCACGGCGATCCAGGTTGTGAGCTGCATCTCGGTGTGGGAGACCCCTTCGTGGTTTTTGTCATTGTCAACAATGTTATGTATGCTGGCCCCGTGTACAGTACTTAATAACACAGGGTAAAGCAAAGAGTTCGTAGCGTAACCTAAAATTACGCTGCATTTTGATCATTAAACCTCCTGTACGGTAGCTAACCCGGTAACGGGGCCTTTACCGGGTGATTCGTCGGATGTCCGGCGGTCTTCCGGGTTCTTCGACCTCTTCTTTCCATTTAGTGCTCGCAGTACTTTCCCGGAGACACGCCGCCAGCAGAGCCGCTGTCCGAGTTGAGCGTGGAGAACGTCTGCTGCTGCTGAGTGTTATCGTCCGAAGGAGCGGCAGTGGTAGCAACCGGAGCAGCCGTAGTGGCGACCGGAGCGGCCGTAGTGGCGACCGGAGCGGCCGTAGTGGCAACCGGAGCGGCCGTAGTGGCAACCGGAGCGGCCGTAGTGGCAACTGGAGCGGGGGTCGGAGCCGGAGTAGCCACGGGAGCTGCCGTCGGAGCCGCCGTAGTAGCAACCGGGGCGGGAGTCGGAGCGGCCGTAGTGGCGGCCGGGGCGGCCGTGGTAGCAACCGGAGCGGGAGTCGGAGCTGCCGTAGTAGCAACCGGAGCGGGAGTCGGAGCTGCCGTAGTGGCGACCGGAGCGGGCGTCGGAGCTGCCGTAGTGGCGACCGGAGCGGGCGTCGGAGCTGCCGTAGTGGCGACCGGAGCGGGCGTCGGAGCTGCCGTAGTGGCCGCCGGAGCTGTCGTCGGAGCTGCCGTAGTGGCCGCCGGAGCCGTCGTCGAAGCGAGTGCCGTGCACGTTGCCTGGAGGTTGGAAATCTCCGTCATGAGCACGATGTTGTTGCCGACGATGCAGTTGGTGAGGTTGAAATTGGCGCTGCCAACGAGCGTCGAGAGGATGGTCTTGCACGAGTCCGAGGCGCAGATGGCCTTGACCTGGTCGGGGGCCGAGGCGGCGTTCACGGTCGTGAGGTCCACGGAGCCGTCGAGCGCGGCGCTGAAGTTGTTCTGCGTCATGCACGTCACGAGCTGCGAGTTGACGTTGAGACCCGCGTAGGCGTTCACGAGGACATTGCTGTCGCAGTTCTCGAGCGCGTCCGCGGCACCGAAGACCATCATGGCCAGCGCGGCTCCAAAGGTCCAGCAGCGCATAGTGTCCGGGGTGTGTGGGGGGTGGTGTTGGTGTCCTTGGACGGTCTTCTCCTCTATCGGGACAAGCTGGCAATGAGGACTTGGTCCCCGCTGTTGCTTCGCGAGTGGAGCGGGAGAACGAGTCAGACGCGTCAAAGCCCCGGAGGCCACAAGGGGATTGGCACCGGGAAGCCATCTGGGCGCCACGGACGAGCCGAGCCGAGAGAGCTCTGCACAAAACGAAACGACGATGGGGTCCTCTACGCCGAGAATGAGGCGGTTTGTAAGTGCCCGGCGCGGTGCCGGACTCCGCGGCCGGAGTGACGCACGCGCTTGCGGCTGACAACGGGTGTTTTTGCGGAGCTGAACGTCGCTTTGATATTGAGCAGCGGGGACGAGGAATCGCCATCGAAATGGGGGTGAGGACAGTGCGGCCGCAGCTGTGTGCAATTAGGTTCGCGAGTTGTTGGGTCGTGGCGGCGCCCTGACATGGTGAAAGCTCAGCGCTGCTCGGAGTCGGAGTCCGACTGCCGTCATGTGGCATCGGCTGGACGTGTTGTTCAGCCGCACAGGTCCTCTTTTTTCCTGATGCACCTGGCTGCAATTATTGATTAGTACTCGGATTCACGTAATTTTTTTGGTAAAACTACAGTACAACAGTACCATAAAGTTTTCTGTGAAAAATATACTTCGCCTTGCTAAATGCAGTTCATCAGATTGCACCCATAATATGAATGCACTTACCGTAGTAAGGCAGCATCCCGGGTCGCTTACGGACGCCCCCCTCGAACTAATCTCATTCAAAATGGATATGTGAATTTCAGAGATATCTACATGATCATTGCGTCACCATAATGTTAATTAAACGTTAGGTTCATCGACCGACTAGGCAGCAGCTAACTGAAGAGTTATCGATCAGACCATCACCAAAGTGTCTGAAACGTTTCACTACAGTAGAGTACGAACATTATTTTGAAGTCAGAGACTATCACCCGCAGGGTTTAACAGAAGCAAACCCCATCCGGACGACGTCTACGGATCGACGTGTCACGATATTATCAACTACAAACACATACAGCGCGAAAACGGGTAACGATCTGCCAACTTTGTGGAGATCAAGCTGCAGTAAGCTGTGTGACCCGCGTGCAACGCAGTCATCTGGATGAAGTTAAAGATGTAGGAAGCGATGTGCTTGAAGTTAGATGTTGAAGTTACAGGCACCAAGGACTAGAATTGCTTAGGAGGAGTAGGACGAAGGTGCTAAACTCAATCTCAGTTTCGATTTTCCAGCGTACTCAACACAGCATCTCGGCTCCCGATGCCCGCCGTACTTCCTCTCTAAGTGCTACCATATCACTTATCACTCTTTTTAAAAATTGTGACATAGTAGAACTTGTGATTCCTACGCAATGGTGGAGGGGGTCGAGATGCTGAAGAACTGTCATTTCCTGGTCAGCGAGGCGCTGGTGGAACTCAACTAAACCGACCGGGAGAAACAAACAACAGCGACTGTCTCGACCAGGAGCAGACGTAACAAACAAGCGCGGACGCCACACGGAGAGCCCAGACGAGGCCAAGACCAAACAAGTGCGGACGCCAACGAGAGAAACCAATAACAGCGGCTGTGTCGACGAGGAGCAGACGCAACAAAACAATCAAACCGCCACACGGAGAGCCTAGGCGCAAGACGCAGAGACCAAGAACACAGAGTTCGGACGCAAGACGCAGAGACCAGAGATGAAGTGGCCAGATGCAAGCTGCAGAGGCCAAGACCAAACAGTGCGACCGGCACACGGTAAGCCAAGAAACAAGATGCAGAGGCCACAGCAAAATGAAATCCCTCGCTTGGAGGAGGGAATGTCACGAGAAAAAAAATGAAGACACACAACCCCGGAAACCGAAACCAGATGCACCAACAGCAAGATCCTTACCGACACTACGGATCACGACAAAATCGGCCCGAAAGTCAACCAAGGCAACCTCACCACCATCGGAGGCCCTCGCTTGGAGGAGGGAATGTCACGATATTATCAACTACAAACACATACAGCGCGAAAACGGGTAACGATCTGCCAACTTTGTGGAGATCAAGCTGCAGTAAGCTGTGTGACCCGCGTGCAACGCAGTCATCTGGATGAAGTTAAAGATGTAGGAAGCGATGTGCTTGAAGTTAGATGTTGAAGTTACAGGCACCAAGGACTAGAATTGCTTAGGAGGAATAGGACGAAGGTGCTAAACTCAATCTCAGTTTCGATTTTCCAGCGTACTCAACACAGCATCTCGGCTCCCGATGCCCGCCGTACTTCCTCTCTAAGTGCTACCATATCACTTATCACTCTTTTTAAAAATTGTGACATAGTAGAACTTGTGATTCCTACGCAATGGTGGAGGGGGTCGAGATGCTGAAGAACTGTCATTTCCTGGTCAGCGAGGCGCTGGTGGAACTCAACTAAACCGACCGGGAGAAACAAACAACAGCGACTGTCTCGACCAGGAGCAGACGTAACAAACAAGCGCGGACGCCACACGGAGAGCCCAGACAGCAGAGGCCAAGACCAAACAGAGCGGACCGCCACACGGAGAGCCTAGGCGCAAGACGCAGTGACCAAGACCGCAGTGCCCAGACGCACGACGCAGAGGGCAGAGACGGAGAGTCCAGACGCAAGACACAGAGGCCAAGACCAAACAGAGCGGACCGCCACACGGAGAGCCTAGGCGCAAGACGCAGAGACCAAGAACACAGAGTTCGGACGCAAGACGCAGAGACCAGAGATGAAGTGGCCAGAAGCAAGCTGCAGAGGCCAAGACCAAACAGTGCGACCGGCACACGGTAAGCCAAGAAACAAGATGCAGAGGCCACAGCAAAATGAAATCCCTCGCTTGGAGGAGGGAATGTCACGAGAAAAAAAATGAAGACACACAACCCCGGAAACCGAAACCAGATGCACCAACAGCAAGATCCTTACCGACACTACGGATCACGACAAAATCGGCCCGAAAGTCAACCAAGGCAACCTCACCACCATCGGAGGCCCTCGCTTGGAGGAGGGAATGTCACGAGAAAAATGAAGACACACAACCCCGGAAACCGAAACCAGATGCACCAACAGCAAGATCCTTACCGACACTACGGATCACGACAAAATCGGCCCGAAAGTCAACCAAGGCAACCTCACCACCATCGGAGGCCCTCGCTTGGAGGAGGGAATGTCACGATATTATCAACTACAAACACATACAGCGCGAAAATGGGTAACGATCTGCCAACTTTGTGGAGATCAAGCTGCAGTAAGCTGTGTGACCCGCGTGCAACGCAGTCATCTGGATGAAGTTAAAGATGTAGGAAGCGATGTGCTTGAAGTTAGATGTTGAAGTTACAGGCACAAGGACTAGAATTGCTTAGGAGGAATAGGACGAAGGTGCTAAACTCAATCTCAGTTTCGATTTTCCAGCGTACTCAACACAGCATCTCGGCTCCCGATGCCCGCCGTACTTCCTCTCTAAGTGCTACCATATCACTTATCACTCTTTTTAAAAATTGTGACATAGTAGAACTTGCGATTCCTACGCTACGGTGGAGGGGGTCGAGATGCTGAAGAACTGTCATTTCCTGGTCAGCGAGGCGCTGGTGGAACTCAACTAAACCGACCGGGAGAAACAAACAACAGCGACTGTCTCGACCAGGAGCAGACGTAACAAACAAGCGCGGACGCCACACGGAGAGCCCAGACGAGGCCAAGACCAAACAAGTGCGGACGCCAACGAGAGAAACCAATAACAGCGGCTGTGTCGACGAGGAGCAGACGCAACAAAACAATCAAACCGCCACACGGAGAGCCCAGACAGCAGAGGCCAAGACCAAACAGAGCGGACCGCCACACGGAGAGCCTAGGCGCAAGACGCAGTGACCAAGACCGCAGTGCCCAGACGCACGACGCAGAGGGCAGAGACGGAGAGTCCAGACGCAAGACACAGAGGCCAAGACCAAACAGAGCGGACCGCCACACGGAGAGCCTAGGCGCAAGACGCAGAGACCAAGAACACAGAGTTCGGACGCAAGACGCAGAGACCAGAGATGAAGTGGCCAGATGCAAGCTGCAGAGGCCAAGACCAAACAGTGCGACCGGCACACGGTGAGCCAAGAAACAAGATGCAGAGGCCACAGCAAAATGAAATCCCTCGCTTGGAGGAGGGAATGTCACGAGAAAAATGAAGACACACAACCCCGGAAACCGAAACCAGATGCACCAACAGCAAGATCCTTACCGACACTACGGATCACGACAAAATCGGCCCGAAAGTCAACCAAGGCAACCTCACCACCATCGGAGGCCCTCGCTTGGAGGAGGGAATGTCACGAGAAAAATGAAGACACACAACCCCGGAAACCGAAACCAGATGCACCAACAGCAAGATCCTTACCGACACTACGGATCACGACAAAATCGGCCCGAAAGTTAACCAAGGCAACCTCACCACCATCGGAGGCCCTCGCTTGGAGGAGGGAATGTCACGATATTATCAACTACAAACACATACAGCGCGAAAATGGGTAACGATCTGCCAACTTTGTGGAGATCAAGCTGCAGTAAGCTGTGTGACCCGCGTGCAACGCAGTCATCTGGATGAAGTTAAAGATGTAGGAAGCGATGTGCTTGAAGTTAGATGTTGAAGTTACTGGCACCAAGGACTAGAATTGCTTAGGAGGAATAGGACGAAGGTGCTAAACTCAATCTCAGTTTCGATTTTCCAGCGTACTCAACACAGCATCTCGGCTCCCGATACCCGCCGTACTTCCTCTCTAAGTGCTACCATATCACTTATCACTCTTTTTAAAAATTGTGACACGACGCCACTAAGCTGGCAGTAGAATATTTTGGGGAGACCAGTGAAACCAATGCGACCGACAGACACATAAAATAGTTAATGAATACCGACCGGGATACTCAGCAACACGCTTTCGCAACGCTTGTAAGAAATCTGACTGCTTCCCAGGTAGGTCCACTACAGTTACCGACGACGATCAAAGTTGCCGTAGACGGCGCGCTCCACAGTGGACACGGCAGCAACTGTGAGATTGCCAGCAAGAAGCCCTCGCGAAAGCCTGCCAAGTTGGAAACAATAAACAAGTCCAGAAAAGCAAAGGATGAGCACAAGTGATAAAAGCTTTGAAGCATGTGTAAGTACAAACTAGCACAGAGTTCGAAATCCAAACCACTGCGCATATCGATCTTGAAGTTGGCGTTTCACGTTCAAAACGTTAGATCCCGACGTCGGGGAAACAGGGATCGCGTGAGTAGGTGATTTCACAAATGACCGCTTTACTTAGCCACACTACAGATTTTACGCGAGAGAACACCAAGTGCCATACCAAGTCCTGGTTGCCTTTATTTTGGTTCTTCTGCAGATCAGGTCTAGGATTTGAACATGCTGATTATGAGACCGAATCGGAAGACCTGAACGAAACAGCCACATCAGTGGAACATGGCATGACAATTCTTCTCCATGTTCCTTTCAACTACCTAGGTATATTTCCTACTAAGCATTGACCGGGTTTGTTGTAGATAGAGGTGATCCATGTGGCTGGCTACTCCGAATGAGCAGACATTTTGCAGTGACATTTCCCGATGTCGCACTATCATTACATGTCACTTTTGAAACTGTAAGTTACCATGTGCCTGTGTCCATAGTTGTAATGTTATTCTGCCCCCCCCCCCCCCCCC